TCTCTCTCTCTCTATCTCCATCTCCCCCTTCTTCTTTACATCTCACCAGTTTAATCTCTGTCTGAAGGGGGACGTGCATTGCTGCACCATCCTGCTCTTCCTTCGTCTGTCTCCTCTTTCTCTGTAGCGTCCAACAACTTTTGCATTCGCTATTTTTCTGTTTCTTTTTTTTTTAAATTCACATCATTTGAGCTGTTTTATTTTCTAATTTCCAATCATGAGCGCACAGAGAGCTCGGTATGAGAAGCGGGTTGCAGAGCAGCAGCGTCAAGGTGAGGTCTATTCTAAATATTTTAAACAAAAGTTTAACCAGCTACCAGTTTGTTATCAAGTTTAGAATATTCTGCATATTATCTTTGTATTTACGTCTTCATTTGCTCGCTTCATTGCTTTCTAATACTTCTAGATATTTGTGAAAGCGCATTTAATAAACCTTAAACTTCTCCTAATAAAAAAATAATAACGGTAATATTAAACATTTGAGATACATTTTTAAATAAAAATCTCAATAAACTTTACAGGCATGTTAAAATCCCCGACAGGAATATTAGAGGACCATTATGTTGAACTGTCTCTAAGATTAATTCCAACAATCTGCCGTATTAGTCACATAACCTTGGATTTGAAGGGTGATGCATGAGATCTGGCAACATAATGACCTTCTGGAAGAAGTCATTAGCATTTATTAGTGCATGCTGTGTAATGCCTATTATCCCAACAGTCACCAGTTGATGAGAATGACTTGAACCATATTAGTGTGTCAGTAAAGGCTATATTCCTCAACCCACAGAGAGAATTAGACATTTGAATGCGAATTGTTTTCACTAAATAGTTTCTTCATCATCCGTGACCAGAAAATGTCTTTTGTCTCAAGTGTCTGAACTATTCTGAAGCAAAAATTATGTAATTTAGAGGAAATAAGGTGCAGTTTATTTCCTCTTTATTCTTTGTTTGAGCTTAGTTCAGCTCACAGATTATAGTTTCAATTTTTTTAAATAGAAATATAGAAAACAGTAATAATAATAATAATGAAATCTTTCTTAAAAAAAGTAGAAATACATCAATGTGTGTGTATAGCATTCATTGATCATCCTGATAAATAAATAAATAAAGAGTATTTTATATTAATTATTATTTTAGATTTTATATTAATGATCCATTTAAGGTCCTGACATTATCTGTCTCCACATGCTGGTGCTTAGGCAGTTGTTGTTGTTTTAGACCTTTTGGATGCCCCAGTACAGTACAGTAAGTGGTGGTGATATGTAGACCTGAAATCAATTACTCAATCAGTCAATTAGTAGATGAAAAGAAAATTAATCATTGATAATAATTGATTATTATTTCAACTTCACAAACATGACGTTTGCTGTTTTTCTGACTCATTCAAAACTGCATCCTGCAAGATACAACTTCCTTACAGAGGAACGCAAGAAAAAAGCTCACAGGAATCGTCGAGCATGCAACCGTAATCACCGGCATCACTCAGACCCAACTCTCAGACCGTCAGCGTCACGCAGTAAAAAGAAAGACAGACACCATCACTGAGGACCCTTCACACCCCTTCATCACTCCTTTCAGCTACTCCTCCAGTCAAAAAGACTTAGACTGTTTTTTAATGCAGCCTTGTAAACCTGCTTTTATTTATGGTATTGATTGAGTTTTAATGCAGTTTTATGTGAGTCTTTCATGGTCTATTGTTATTATTTTTACAAGTGTAACACACTTATCTCAAGGTTATCTCCACACTTATGTGTGTGTGAAGATCCAATTGGGTAGTGGTTCAAAACAACACATAACAGAGTCAGTCTGTCTGTTAGATTGTTCTTAATCTTGGTCTTCCATAACAAAGTAGAACTACGATATGTTGGGTGCTCAGTGTTCAAACTTATCAGCTGCTCTGCAAAGTCTAGTCAGCCAGACAGTCAGAGAGGAAGCCAAATTAACAAAGATGAGTCACAGGCCATGACCTGCGACCTCCTTTAGATTTGTAGACAACTTCACAGTGGCAATACAATTTCAGTCTAATGTAAAGTAGGAAAATCCCCCCACAGTTCTGGTGATATGTGAGTTTCAGTTGAAAAGTGTAATTTATGACACAAGCAGAAATGTTGAACTGTGGTTTGACCCCAGTAAGAATCACCACAAAGCTGACGATGAAATCCTCTATCTAAAGCACTTTTTGTATTGTTTATCTTTTATTTTCCTTTTTATTTCAGCCCGCCAGTGTTGATCAAACACAGAAATCAGCACAGGATGTGTTGACATCTCCTGTTGTTTCTCCAGCTTCCCTTGCTGAAATGGAGCTCTCTTTGCAGAGCTCCCCTTCAAACATATCTAAACTGTTCCACAATACCAGCATGCCACTGAACGCCACTGGAAATTACACCAATGACCAATTCATTGAAGTTAACCTCTTTGAAATCCTGGGTCCAAAACGATCTCCCTTCTTCCTCCCGGTGATCAGCGTTTACCTTCTCATATTCCTCACCGGCTTGTCTGGGAATCTGCTCACATGTGCAGTGATAGCAAGGCACAAGAAGATGCGAAACCCCACCAACCTCTACCTTTTGAGCCTGGCTCTGTCGGACCTCCTTGTGCTTTTGTTCGGGATGCCCCTGGAAATTTACGACCTGTGGCAGAACTACCCGTTTCCCTTTGGCGAAGGCGGGTGCTACTTCAAGACCTTCCTCTTTGAGACGGTCTGCTTCGCCTCAATCCTCAATGTCACAGCTCTGAGCGTGGAGAGGTACATAGCTGTGCTGCACCCACTCAAAACACGGTATCTGTCGACCAACCAGCACGCTAAGAGGGTCATCACCGTTGTGTGGGTTGTGTCGATGATCTGTGCCATCCCCAACACCTCACTGCACGGCATCTTCTACCTGCCAGAGAAGATGGAGGAGTCAGCCATATGCACTGTGCTGAAGCCCCTGTGGATCTATAACATGGTCATGCAGATCACCACGGTGTGCTTCTACTTTGTGCCCATGACGGTGATTAGCGTGCTGTACCTGGTAATGGGTCTTCATTTGGGCAGAGAAAGACGGCAGTCGAGCGGGAATCTGGGGAAGAACTGTGGCACCAACACCCGAAGGAAGATCAACGCGAATGGGCGCAGAAGACAGGTCAACAAGATGCTCTGTGAGTTGTTTTTCTCTCGTCTCTCTTCAAAAAACATGCATTACTGTGAAAGGCTGCAATTATTTGAAAGCAGATCCCCTCTAATCTGTGTTATCAATGCCAAGACATGTTCCCAAAGACAGAACACAAGGAAAACACAGAGCAAGAGAGGATTGTCAGCTCTTTGTATGGATCATTTGTATTCTGAGGGACATCTTTTTGTCACATCCTCTAAGCTTTGGGTCTTGATGAGATTTAATGGATAGTGTTAGCACAGTTCTTAGATAATTGATTTCATTTTAGACTGAAACATCCATCGTTTAAAAATTCTTCCACAACAAAATAATGGTTTCGAATTCCAGTGGGATTCGTCTTAAAGGCCCTGAACACATATTTTCTGAATCAGTTTAAGTGATGCAATTCAGGTATTTTCACATAAGATGTATCAGTTTGTTTTCTACAGCCAATCATAATTTAGCAGTATAAAAATCTGAATCAGCTGCCAGGGAGATGAAACTGACAATCAAATATGATGAAAACCCAGAGTCCTGCTGCTGATTTTTTGTTTTTGAGTGTTAAAATATCATTAATTTTTAACTAAGGATAAATGTCTGAACAACTACTGGATGAGATGCCGTTAAAGTTGGTGCAGATATTCAGCTTCCTCTCATGATGAATTTGAATAACTTTGGCGATCCCTTAACATTTCCTCTAGCACAGAGCTCTCAAACTGAAATTGGCTTGGGACCACTGTTGGGATTGTCATCTCATAGGAGGAGAATCATAATAAACAAAAATAAAATGGTTTGGGGTGAATGGTTTGAGATCCTTCCCGTTTTAACCAGGGTGTAGCATTCTCAGCCTTCTTATATTAGTCTTCTCCCCTTAAATGTTACTTACCTGTGCGTGTGGGTTAGTTGTTTAAAGTTTAATAACAGCTTCCCAAAAGCGGTGCCAAAACATCTCAATCGCCCCCTGGTGGCTGACTGCAGTATTAGGTCATAAACCCATGTTAGCTGATGAGACTTTGGCCAAACTAAAAAGAATCAAAGTACACGTTTCTGTCATTTTAGGTAGTTCTTATCATGCTGATGTATGTCCAAGTGTTTACTTTTCTTATAAGTTAAGTTTAAATTGCTATAAAAAGGGGGTTTCACATCATGATTGACAGCAGAGCCGATACCGGGGCTCCGACCCCGATCACTTCTGTGCAAACTCTTGCTCCAAATAATGTCACCAGCGCAAAATGTATCAGATGTGTCTGGAAAATTTTGGCTTCATTTTTGTGCAGTATAAGGAAGCGGAGACGTGTCGTCATGTTTGTTATGGGGTTATGGAGTCAGTCAGTACACACTCATGCTGTGCAGCCAAAGTTTGTTCAGGCCCACAGAACTGTATATAAGGTCTAAAAGAGATCCCAAAGTTTCCAAAAATACATGTCAGGCAGACTTTTGTGGAGTTTTTGTGGATATAATGAAATCTGGAATATTTCCATTTGATGTAATTATGCAGTTTTTGCATCAAATGGAATATTTCACTCAGTGTAAACATCATATACCGTAGCTTCAAGAGCTGGAACAAGATGATACAGAATATAGATGTGATTCTGGTAAACAGTGTGGAATAAGATCCTTTTTTTTTTTTTTTCTTACTTAAATAGAAAAATGCAACAACTATTTGTTAAAGGTTTAAATAGCCAAGTCTCACAAACTCTGTTGCTGGGAAAAGTGAAACTAGGTGTCAAATGTTTGCAACTCTCACATTTATAAATATCTTGTCACTATGACACCAACCTTCCAACAAAGCTACGTCAGATAGCTTGATGCCATATGTCCACCACAACAGCCAAACAGCCTGCATCGGCTGCACCTCCCTCCGTGAGAGAGACCCAGAGAGCATTATTTATGGACTATTAGGACAGTAATGTGCTTTATTACCAAGTGATTTAGAGCAACCTCTGCTGCTCTGAGGGACATGTTTACAAATGACTTACAATCCTAAATCTCTAAGACTTTGTGCACCTGTGTGGCTTTGTGTTCAGCCGGATCTTACAGGCCATATCAAAAGACATTTTTATTCCAGCTTTTAGAATGTAAAAGTCAGTAAACAAGAGCTGCAACAAACGATTAATTTAATTATCAAATAATCCGCCTGTTATTTTCTTGATTTATTGATTAATAATTTTGTCACAAAATAAAGATGAAATTCTTTAATTCCAATAATACTATTATGCTTACTTTCAAATATGACAAAGAAAAAGCATCAAATCCTCACATTGGACAAGTTGGAAACAGATCTTGTTTGCAATTTTTGTTTGACATTACTAACTGATGATGAAAATAGTTGCAGATATATTTTGTAGCGATTGATTGAGCGATTAATTGAATAATTTTTACAACTCAACTGACTCAATAATGTGTTAATATTAAGTTTTAGCTAACATTAGCATGTATTAGTTACTGATCATACCAGTCCAAGTAAACCTGTAGTAGCAAAACCCCTGAGTGTACTGAACGGTGTGTATTGTTAGGAAGATTGTTTAGTTCTTTTTTTAAAATGTACATAACTGCGGGGAAACCTACCAAAAATAAGGGTTTTGTTGTAAATCAGTGGACTGAATCCCCACATGTCTAGTGTAGGTTGATGTCCTTTTAGCATGTAGCCCCCATGATGTCACTCCTTCCATCACAAATCCATTAAAAAAAAAACAGCAACAAAGAACAACCTGCAACAACAGCTACTTTAAAAAATGTTTTAAAGTCATTCTCATTCTCTGTGGTTTGCTACTCCAGCAATCGTGGTTGCAGTGTTTGGAGTCTGCTGGGCGCCCTTCCACATCGAGCGGCTCCTGTGGAGTTCCATCAGCCAGTGGACCGATTTGATGCACAACATTTATCAGTACGTCCACATCCTGTCGGGCGTCCTCTTCTACCTCAGCTCAGCAGTCAACCCTATCATCTACAGCCTGCTCTCCACACGGTTCAGGGAGTGTTTCAGGGAACTCATGTGCTCCCAAGCGGAGGAAAATAGCTCTGTCAGAGACTCGCCACCATTCCCTAAGATTTTACTGGATCCCTCCGTCTCAAGCTCCAGAGCTCAGGCTAATGGTAAGGACTCCAATGCTTTCATCCCTTTGTTGTCTCCTAACATGACATTGAGCATGGACACTGCAATCCTCTCATGTGCATGTAAAGAGACGACCTGTAAGACCTCTGTGTTCTGAGATTTGGTTTAAATAAGTTAACAAGCAGAAGCCACTTTAAATGACTAATTTGACATTTTGGGAAATATATGCTGTCTTGCAGTATTTAGATGAGAAGATTGATACCACTCTGTTAAGTATGAAGCGACTGTCAGGATAGTTTAGCTTAGCATGAAGACAGGAAACAGGAAGAAACGGCTTCTGAAGAAAAGTCACCTGAGGACATTTGTCCTCATAGAATCTTTTCTGGCAGAATAACGCTGGCAGGGCTCTGCCGTGGTTGTGTAGCAACAACTGTAAACTGTAAATGGAAATATTCACTGCCTGAATTGGACCAAACACAGTGCCTGTACCCTAATTCAGCACAACCCTAACCCTAACCCTAGGCATTTTTAACTCAGTTCCAGTGCTGTTTTTTTTAGCGGCTATGTGGTTACACAGAGACGCAAGCATTTAGGAGTACTTCACCAGCATCACTGTATGCAGTGTTTTAGAAATAGTAAGGTCCAAAAGCTGAACTAAGGGTACGGCTCAAAGCACCAAATTTGTTATTTTCTAGCAATTATTTTGAAAGTTTTATTGTCTAACCCTTAGAAAAAAATACTGAGGTTCATACCTTGGTGACCTCAGTGGTGGGTACGGCCATGCTCACCAGAGGTGGCGGTACTTAATAAGAAGTAAGGGTACTCATGGACAAAAAGCTGAAGTGCCAGGACTTAGAGTACTAGCCCATTACAGGCACTGTAAATATTGATTTTCTACTTTTTCTACGTTTTACTCGAGTGAACTCCCTTTACTTCGCCAGTTTGTTCAGTTGTCCACTGAAACCTTATCACAACACAGGAATGACAGCTGCACACATGTTAACCCCTCGGCTTTATTGTTTCCCCTAGCAACAGTACAACATGCACAAGGTTTCTACCCCAGTATTTAACCTAATACTACACACTTCACAGTCTCCACCGACCTAGACCAACTGTCTGTGTGTGTATGTGTGTGTAGGAGCTGAGTCCTGAGGCAGAGGAGAGAGACAAAAAGAAGCTAGCGCGACTATAAATGACAACAAAATGTGGTAAAGTCTCAGCATAGTTTTTTTTTTCTTTTCATTTATTTCTTTGTTATAATAGTCTCTGTCTGACATATCATGAAGCTCAGGATAGATAGACACGGTCAGAACGATTTTTCTCCATTTTTGAGTCCCCCAATTGGTTGCCTGAAAATAAGCGACAGTAATAACACCAACACAAACAACATGGTGTGTCCTAATAGGTCACCTGGTAGAGCTGGTGCCCCATGTACCACAGTGGAGTCCTTGCTGCAGTGGCCATGGGTTCAAATCCAACATGTGGCCCTTTACTCTCTCCCCTCTTTCCTGTTACTCTTCAGCTATCAGTATTGATTAAAGGCAAAAAAAGAATGTATATTAAAAAAAGGCGCAATGCTCTGAAAACAGACGCTGGATGCAACATTTTTTCCTCTAGGTGGCCACATACGCTCTCTTAAAAGATACTGGCACTCGCCAAAAAAACGCAATGTGGACACAAGCCATAACTGCACCGCTAATTCTCACTAATTAACACTCTTGTTTGTTTAATCTGTACAAAAAACAAAGAGTAAACAACATTTATCAGGTATTGGTGCTGATCTTCTCATCTAACCTTTGCCAAAAATAAGCCTATTTCCCAAAATGTCAATGTTCCTTTAAAGATGTTCCTTATTAGATGTCATCAAAAAGCTTGTATGTGGACTTTGATTTGCTTCTTTGTTTGCTACTATGGATAATATAGTTTAACAGTGCCTGCACATTCCACCTGCTGTCTTACTCTGTATACTGCTGTATGCCTTAGAGGTTGAATCCAGAAGGAAAGGAGGACAATCAAAATCTGCTCTGAATGATATTGTGTTGTACTTGATTTTTCTTGTTCTTATTTGGAAAATCAATGTGTTGCTGGGCAGCAAAATCAGGTGTCTCCGTGTTTCAGTGGAACTTGTAAACAAAGAATGTAATGCTTTACTGTGAGCTTTACCGAATCTTGCTTTGTCTCTTATGCACGGCCAACAATCATGTTACATGATTTGATTGATTGGTAAGGTTT